AAGTTTTGAAGAAGAAATAAGTTGAAACCCCCAAAATCAACGGTGTCGAAACTCAATCTTCACTGCACACAACGAAACCCTTGAGAAGTTAACCAACTTTGATGAAGAACTTATGGCAGAACTCTAATGGATCTTGAGAAATCAAGGTTTTGATCCAATTTGGCATAGGAAAATGTAGAGAGAAGGGAGAGGAAAGGGTTTTTAGAGAAAGAGATCTATAAAAGTGATTTGAAATATCAGATTCACGAACTGATATAACATGGTCCACTCGAGCGTGGAAAGACCCCGCTCGAGCATCAAATACACTTTCGCAGTACTTTTGCAGACAGCTCAAACTTTTGAAACCAAACATTCTCCGCTTGATTGCATAAACGGCCGCTCAAGCGGACAAGTAACTTCTAATGCATTTTGCATTTTGTATTTTTGCTTCGAGGGTGCTGTCCCTCAACCCCACCAGGGCGCTACCCTAGGACCCGCCAAGGGACGCTGCCCCCTGGACCCCCACCAGATGACCGGCCAGCTTGATCCCCGACATACTCAGCGAAGTGGCAAAACTAGGATCGTTGCATTACTGGCAATAGAAGTGTAATCATATGTCTATATGTAGATAACATGTTTATTTTTGGTACTGACAATGATGTCATTAAAAGTACTAAAAGTTTCTTGTCGTCTAGCTTTAGTATAAAAGACATGGGCTCGACTGATATAATTTTAGGTATTAAGATCAAATGAGAGGACAATAATTTGATTCTTACGCAGTCCCACTAAATTGAGAAAATTCTTAAGAAATTTAATTAATATAATTGTACACCCATGTCTACACCTTTTGATTCAAATTTGAAATTGTATCTTAATACTGGAAAAGCTATTGATCAACCAGAATAATCAAGAGTGATAGGTAGCCTGATGTATGCCATGACTTGCACTAGACCTAATATTGCATTAGAAGTAGGAAAACTTAGTAAATACACTAGTAATCCCAGTAGTGTGCATTGGCATGCTGTTAGCTGAACACTTAGGTACTTGGGGAAAATGATAGGCTATGGAATAGTCTATAGTGGCTATCCAACAGTGCTAGAAGGATTCACGGATGCTAGTTGGATAATTGATCGTGAAGATCACTCATCCACGAGTGGTTGGATTTTTGCTCTTGGAGGAGGAGCTATCTTTTGGGGTTCTAAGAAGCAAACATGCATAACAGTTTTAACCATGACGTCAGAGTTTGTAGCATTGGCTTCTTGTAGCAAAGAAGCAGAGTGGCTAAGGAATCTCTTGTTAAAGATTAAGATATGGCCAAAACCTATGCCACCAATATCTTTGCATAGTGATAGTGAAACAATTCTATCACGGGCTTATAGCCATGTCTATAATGGAAAGTCCAGGCATATAGGACTGACACATAGCTATGTTAGGCAATTAATCACAGAAGGTACCATTAGTTATGTAAAGTCAAGTGAAAACTTGGCTAACCCCTTAACAAAGGGACTTGTAAGGGATTTGGTATGGAAAACATCAAAGGAGATGGGTCTTAAGCTCACTTAACATAATCACTTCTGGTCAAAACTCGACTCAACACTTGAAGAAACATCAAGCCTTGAGTTCAATAAGTCCAAGTACACCATATGTCATGATTACAAGTACTTAGTTTTATTTCATTTTCATCCCAAGGTTGAAGTGCTTAGTACTTGTAATGTGAAAAGAAGAGAATGAGTTAGCAAACTCTTAATAAGATTACAACTGGGTTGTTACGGTACTGTAATTTATAGGGGTACTCTTAGCAAGCTTACCTATGTGAGTGTAGGATGTGGTGCCGCCTCCTATGAGTCCAAGGGCTTGACTCTAGAGCGCTCATGAAACAAGATATAGACACAAGGCAATCCATGTGTAGGTTTGTTTGAATACTTGAGGTAACCTATACTGTGTATGAGACATGTCCAATTAGTCGTATAAGATCGCTAGTTCAAAAACAAGTCTACTATGCCATCTTGACTAACTTTGAGATGTCTTCACTAATTGAATGATTCAAATTGTAAGATATCTTCACCTATACATAAGGCTGCCAAGTGAACCAAGAGTCATAATCTGGTATTTTGAAAATAGTGGAGGAATGTTGGGGAATTTTCAAAATGATTTTCAAAATTTATAGGTTAGTTTTGGGTGTTTTCCAAAATTTTCTTGTTTTTCTTTGGAAAGCTTGTGGACTTTGTCTCACATTGGAAAGAGAGCAAAACATGGAATATTTAATAAAGTGCTACATGAAATATTCCTTTGAATATGGAATTGTGGGATGGATGCTAGTGTGCATACACTTACACCGCAAGCACCATCCGCACATGCACACGCGCTCGGCGTGGGCAATGTGGTGTTTGATAGTGCACTTTACGCTTGGCACAGACGCATCGATATAAGTCGCCATGAGGGCACTTTCCTATTTGCATCGGACAAGTTGGATCAATGACGTGGATCCAACATGGCATGGGTGACGTGGAATACAACCAGCTCCACGTGGCAGTGATGTGGCGTCCGTTGGCGATGAGTCAATCAACTGATTGAACGGTTGCGTGTCCGATCTGAAGCGGTTTGATCATAGCCGTTGATTGGAGATGCGCACGATCGTACGGATGAGATGGCACTCGATTGTGATCAGGTATGATCAGTCAAGGCATCTTTTCAGTGTGAGAATGATTTACGTCATAGATCGTCGCTCCAACGATCAAATCAGATCGGATGCAATCAAGGGATATGACTATTCGATCAGATGCATCAAGGCTTATAAATAAGTTGCAAAATCAGCCATTTCAATCCATCTAAAAATTCAGAAAGCATTCCTACAATACTCTCTCTCTCTCTCTCTCGCTCTTGATTTTGAGTTTTCAATCAAGAGTTTCTTAAGCAAGTTTCTATTTTTCTTACTGGTAATCAAATTCTGCAGACTTAATTATCAATGTCTTGGTTTTCTTAATTATATCAATAGTATTTTGATCTATTATTGTCAGTGTAGATACTGGTTTTATTGTATCTTGGAGGCAAATTTGCTGTAACCCCCTACACACCTTTTGGTGAGTGCAAATATTGTCTTTAGAAAAATGACTAAATAATGCGACTTAAAGCATCAAATTTTTATTTTACATAGACAAGATTATCGCTAAGTTATGAAACAAACTAAAAAAATTCAAAATGAATTATTCCAACATACCTTACCGTCACTTTCCCTGTGTCAGTGTCTCAAATTTTAACTCACTTTTCATAATAAGAAGTTCATAGGGCCATATGGCTGTTGTACTTTTATATTATTGAAGCATTTTACATTTCTTGGCCCAAGCCTCAAATGTCACCAAAAATTAATAAATCTTAAAATACAAAATTAAATTTCATTTTTATTATTTTCTATATGTACCATACTATTTTAACAATTTGATTGACGATGCTCTTAAAGGTCACCCAACAGATACAAAATTAAATTTCATTTTTATTATTTTCTATATGTACCATACTATTTTAACAATTTGATTGACGATGTTCTTAAAGGTCACCCAACAACTCCACCGACAGGCTACAATATATATATATATATATAAATAAATGCAGCTCTCATAAGCCCAAAGGCTAGGCCACAATAAATATATAAATACAAATTATAAAAAATGTCCATAAATTTACTAAAACATGTCCATAAATATATATATGAACTTGGTATATTGTAAATCCTTATCAATAATAAATCTGATTCATATCATTCAAATTTTAAATATTTTTTCTTTGAATTTGTAACATTGCTAAAAAGTAGTAAAACCCTACTCGTTTGAAAATATGTTATTTTAATAATTTTTTGACTTTTTACAAAAAAAATATGCTAAAAAATAAAGAAAGTGATGTGATAACTTATAGTAATTTTTTGATTTTTTGACTAAAATTAAGGGGTTGTTTGGGGTATCCTAAATAAGTGTACTTTTTGTCTTTTTGAACTAAAAAATTGAGGAAAAAAATATAGATATTTAGATTAACTTTTTGACTTTTTATAGAAAAATACGTATTAAAAAATTGTATAAATTAGTATGTAGGAAAAATTAGGATTGAGAGTTATGTAACCGTACTTTTAATTTTTGACTTTTGCGCTGTGTTTGGTTGGGAGATTTAGAGAGAGATTTGGAAAGAGAAAGAAAAAAGGTGTGTGAAACTAGATGAAATATAAGTATGTTTTATTCACATTTTACCTACCTTTTCCATTTCCCTTTCCAAATCTCTGCTCAAATCCCCTTACCAAACACAACATTAGTAAATAGTGATAATTTTTTAACTTTTTGAATAACTTTTTAATTTTTTGACTTTTTAATAACTTGTCAAACTTAACATAAATTTTACCAAACGAATAAAGTACAATTACCTTTCTTCCCTAGCACAAAAGTACATGTCAAATGAAGATAAAATAATCAATTTTCCTCCTAATATAGAAACTAAGGGATTGTTTGAGATGACCTAAATAAGTGTACTTTTTATCTTTTTACGAAAAGATGTGCAAAAAAATAGAGAGGTGATGTGATGAAAAAAAAAATAAAAAGATAGATTATTTTAATATTGCTAAACTTGGCCTAAATACGAAGATAAACACAAATGTACATAAATAAACACGAAGACTTTCTACTAGCATAAATTCTCCCACGAACACACAAATTATATATAAAAATAAACACATAATAATATGTATAAATTTTCTCAGCATCTGATTTTGAAATCTATTTTTGCGTTCTTTTTAACTTCTTGTATAATAACCATAAAAAGAACACAGAGAGAGAGAGAGAGAGAGAGAGAGAGAGGCAGAAATTGTTAATCCAACCAGAGTTATAAAAAGAAGAATCACAATAATAAACGTTTGAGTCAGACAAAAAACATATACTCAAAATTTAGTACCATCCATATCTGATGAACTCTCCAGGAATAAAAAAGAAATACAAAACATAAAATAAAAATAAAAATTTAAAAATCATCAGAACATGAAAGAATGATACAGCAGAAACATAGGATTATAATACATTTGAAAATGACAAAATATTGATTCCATAGATTTAACTGTTTTCAATACTTTGTTTCATACAGATAATGAAACATCAATTATACAGAATAAAAATAAAAACTTCATTATATAAATAACTCCACATTTCTTGCACTATTTTCTGATGAACAAACTTTTCAACTTACCTCTCTCCAACCGCTCGAGCAGCTTCTTTGCACCAGGGACTTCCATTTCTGTCAGCTTTTTCAGATACCCAATTGCGCCATATGAAATCATCAGCTTCTTACATTTCTTGCTTGATGACAGCGATCCAAGGCATGAAACAGCATACTTTTTCGCGTTGTTTTGAGGGCTCGGATCGAGCAATTGAACCAAACTTGGCACGCTCTTGTCATCCTTCTTAACTTCTCTCCGGTTCTGCGAAAGGGTCACCAAGCTTGAAATTGCTTGTGCTGCGACTTCTCTAGCCCCGTTTGATTTTGCCTCAAGCATTTTGACGAGCAGAGGAACGCAACCCGCTTCACACACTAGTTTTTTCATCTCTGCCGAGCTGCAGAGCAGACAAATTGCTGACGCAGCAGCTTGCTGTGCGCCTAATGATCCGGATTTTAACACATGGACTAATCGTGGAAGAACACCTAGTGAAACCGAAACATCAATGGAAGCTGAGCCAATGAGGTTCCTCAAAGCCCCGACTGCGGATTCTTGGGGCAATGGACCATCGAGATAGAATAATAGACTTCGAATTCCGCCTTCTGAAACCACGGTCCTTCGGAGAGTTTCATTTGTGGAAGTGAGATTTTGTAAGCACTCGGCCGCGTATTCTTTTGATCCTAATAGTATTCCACAATCAAGGAGATTGATCATAACTTTTATAATCCCATCGTCAGCGAGATTTTGGCGAACTTCCGGAACGGCCGATATGTTATTCAATGTACACGCTGCCGCAGCCTGCGAAACGGAGTCCCCGGTTTGACAAATCTCAATCAGTGGTCGGACCCCACCGTGTCCGACGATCGAACGGGCAGTTTCAATCGACATCGACAACCTTTGGAGCGAGATTGTCGCCTTCTCTTTACCCACTGCGCTTCCCGACTCGACAAGCCTTATAAGCGGCGCAAGAACACCTTCCGAAACAAGCCAATTCTCGCAACTCCCGGATTCTGCGAGTGAGCAAATTACCGTGACAGTTTTTTCCCGGATCCGAGGAGACGTTGCAGTGAGTAATTGGACTAGAGCCGCAATATTGCTTCGTCCTAGAACGGCCAAAACATTATTTTCGTCCTCTTTCATGAGCTCAACAAGGTTGTCTAGAGCTCGGTGTTTAGCCTCCAAGTGTCCGATTTGAAGCCGAGCAAGCAATTCCCTAATATTGCTATGAGTCAAAGCCTCAGGTTCCGATGAAGAACTCACAGAAGAAGGCGGCAATGTGACCTCGCCAAGAACCCCTGTTTTGATCAACAGCCCGCAATCTCTCAAATTCAAATCCAATTTTCCAATCAAGGCGTCAAGATCACTCTGCATACGAAGCTTTCCCTCGTATTTCTCTTTCACGCATAGCTCGGCCAATTCAATTGCTTCGTTCAAGGTCGTTGAAACTCCTTGCAATTGCTCTTTACATAGAGTGTTCTTCGCGAAGCAAGGATGACTCGATAAATCAGATAATCGAGATGGGATTTGCTCTAGCTTTGAAATTATCATCTTCCACCTACCTTGAAACCCCTTAACCTCCTTCGCCTTTTCGAGCGCTATCGGAACAAGCTCTTGGGCACTCAATAACCACTCTTCGGTGGATTGGGTATCGACCAAAACATTGTTGCGCCCACTGTCTTCTACCATGGTTTTGTCAGCGTTGATCAAAGTGATAATTAGAGCTGCACAAATTGAAAATCAGAGAAAATTTACCCAAATGAATGAAAAAAAATAATTGTAGCTTTGAATTTTGCTTCACACAGAATGATCCGTAAACGTATCAGTGAGAAGAACTATATAAAGAAGTGGTTTTTACACAGAACAAATCATTTTGATCCGTATACACGAATGAGAAAATTAGTAGATTAGTACTTTTCTTCACACAAGATGACCCATACACAGATCAAATTGAATACCCGTGATAAGATTTGTAAAAGGAAATGATTTTTAAAGAGAAAATGAAGTCATTTTGACTTGAGAAGAGGAAAAAAAATTAGTTAAAAAGCTATCATTTTGACCCAGACGAGAAAAAAATTATGAGAAAATAGCCCAGAAGAGAAAATTAGTAGATGTGAATTTTGCTTCACGGAGAAAGATCCATATACGGATCAAAGTGATGATGAGTGAAGTGAGAAGAATTGTAAAAAATGTGATTTTTACAAAGAAAATTGAATTGGGAATGGATCGAAATGATTGCTAGAGAAGGAAGAGTAAGAAATCAGAGAAACCAAACCTCCAAAGATGAGAAAAAAATAAATAATAGAAGTTATGATTTGTGGCATAGAAAAATTTAAAAGCTGTGGAGCAGTTGCAATCATCAGACATTAAATTATGAAACAATTATTAAAAAATTAGAAACAACAATAAATAAAAACAAATTAGGAGTTTCGAGAATCTTGAATTATAAACAAACAAAGACTAAGCACCTACTGAAGAAGAAGTCCCACAAGAGCTTTCAAAAGATTAATCAAGTGATTGTTCAATGAGGACCCAGATGAATTAAAATAAAAAATTTAAATGCAATAATGTAAACATATATATATTATTTTTGCATAATTCATATTGAATTGTTGTGGTCCTTTGGATTTAAATAACAGTTGATGACCGTGAAAGAAGGACATTTCAACGGCTCGCTCACAACCGTCCAATTAAGGCCGTCGGTAGCCGGTTTAATTGTGTTTTCATTTTTTTCAAAAACATCAAAAATTTGCGAATTTTTTTTATTTTTTTTTAATAGCTCACATTTTAGGAGAGAGTCAAAAGTTGTTTCTGAATCTCAAACAAGTTTGGCAAAAAAAATTTTTTGAAAAAAGGGTGGATGTTTTATGAACTTTCTGTTGTTTTTGTTCTCAAAAACATGGAAAACAAAAACACAACCAAACAGAATTTGATTATAAAAAAAAATTGTTTTGAAAATAACCCACTTTTAAGGAACTATTAAAAGGTTGTTTTGGAACTTTTTATTGATTTTGTCTCTGAAAACATGGAAAACGAAAACAAAGTGAAGAAAACTAACACAACCAAACTGAAAAACAATATGAATTACTAGTGAGTGTGAGATATGATAAACAGGGTAATATAGTGAAAGTGAAGGGCAAATAAGTAAGAAACAAAAGAACCAAAGCTACAAACTAATTTTACTTTTCAACTATAGAATTGTATATTGTTGGAAAATAATCGAGAATTTCTCTTCAAGGCTCCAATTGCTTGGACTAGATCTGAAGAGAAGATATGAAGCTTACTCTAGAGAGAGAGGGAGAGAGAGAGACTTTGCTTTGAAGAGAGGTTATGAGTCTCTATCTACAGTTGTATATACGTAGTGTGTATTTAAGTTCTTGAAATGGGACCCAATTTTTATTTTATTTTATATAGAAATTAGATGCAAGAAATACAAAAAAATATTAGTACCTCAAATTGATAGGGCTTTCACTATCATTCACAGCAAATAACCTTTAACAGCCACCACCGCAAACATAAATGCGAAGTCCACTGCTTCTGAAAGCACCCAAAACAAAAACAGAGTAAGAAACCTCAAAATCAAAAAAAATTAGATCAAATTGTCAACTAGGTTTGAAAGAAACAAGCAACACCTAAGTAGGGTATAAAGAAAGCAAAAAACACTAACCTTTAAGTCTCAGAAACAACACATTTTATCCCTTTTTGAAGCAGAAAGCAGCCCACAAAGATTGATCCTGAAATCTCTCTCTCTCTCTCCAAATGGAAACCCAGAAAAATTTCTTCAAATCTCTCTCAAGAAACAGCAACCCAGATTTACTTTTTAAGAGACAGAAATACCCACAAAATATTGATCCTAAAATCCCTCTCTCTCTCTCTCTCTCTCTAAATAGAAACCCTGAAAAACTACTTCAGATTAGATCTCTCTAAAGAAACACCAACCCAGAATTGAATTTTAAGAAACGGAAAAATCCAAAAAAAACTGGATCTTTAAAAAGACACACTATCACTGCTCTCTCTTCAGAACTGGAGATACGCAGAAAGCTTTGTCTCCTCAAGGAGAAGAGGACATGTAACGGTCAAAACATTTTTCAAAAATTAAAAAACTCAGAAGATCAGGAGAATCTTGAATGTTGAAAATGATAGTGAGTTTTGAAAAATAAGCAAAAGAAAGCAATCGAGATTTAACAGAAGAAGACAGAAACAGAACAATCAACTAAATTCAAAAAACCAAACCCATCTTCAAAATCTCTCTCTCTCTCGTAGAAGGAAGGTGACAGACAATGCTGAGCTCTCTCCTCGATTCTCTCTCTATAAATATATATTAATTAATTAATCAGTGATGAGAGAGAGAGAGAGATGGGGAATTGGGTTCGGACAGCAATCTTAAATGTCGAGCAAGAAATAAGATCGGACGGCTATTATCTGTGATGTAACAGTAAATCGGACCGTTAGATTGGTTGAAATTTTGAAAGTGCTTTTCGAATTTTTTTGGTTTACCGAGGAGATGACGTGGAGATTAGGCCACGTGTGTGGTGGGGACAGTATTAGTTTACTTTTAAAAGGTCGAGTATCACATTCGTAAGTGTACCACATGTCAAGATGTTGACACGAGTGTATGTGAAATGACAAAAATGTCAATGTTGTGTTTTAAGATTTTTTATATTTATTTTTTTTTGTAAAGATTATGTTGGAAATAATGAACCCAGGTGGGTGGCCTTATGGTAAGAACATGGGGATTAAACCTTCAGGTCATGAGTTCAAATTTTCTTAGGTCAATTTTTTGGGCGTAGCACAGTTGGTTAGGAGGTTAGATCTCAAGTTGTCTAACCAATAGGAGGTTAGATCTCAACTTGTCTAACCAGCACTTGGTGTGGGTTCAATGCTCTCCCGCTGTACAAGTCTTACTTAAGCGGAGCTTGTCTTGGGAGGTCGAGGCAAGTTCTCAAGTTATAGTCTCCTCGCTCGGAACGGCTAACAGGATACCGTGGTGATCTCTACAAAGGGGCGCTGTCTTGAACCTGCGAGAGAGTAGGGAGGATTTTCCTGTAACAAAAAAAAATGTTGGAAATAATGTGAAAGTAATTATGATTTAGATTTCATGTATTTTTCATACATTTTTATAGGTTTTTAAATATTTCATACTTTTTTATATTTATATTTAGATTAATAACTAAAATATTTATATGTTTTTAAATAAAAATTTATTTTAATTGCGGGTGTTGATTTTTGATTTTATAGCCAAACTAGATATCCTAATTGAGATAATGAACTTAACCGTAGAGCACATGAAAAAATAAAAGAATGTTACAACCGCATAAAAGATAATAATAAACACTACGGTAATTCGTCTACTAGGGGTACTCTAACCCTTAAGTCAATCAACTTATTTTTCAAAAATATCGACATAAAATAATACTAATCCGAGCATACCTTAGACCTCAACTAATAACTTAGATCACGAATACAATTCTAAAAATATGTTCCCATTAGGGTTGTGCAAAAAAACCTCTCAATCTGTCAAAATCGCACCGATTCGTATCAATTTGCATTACTCTAACCACTAACTGCGGTATAAATTTTAAAATTTATAATTCGTCAACCGAACCGTTTCGCTCTGCTATAGTTAATACATGTATATTTTTTAACTTTCAATGAAATATCAATGTAACAATGAATATGAGAGATATTTAAGATATGAAATTTATTACAAATTAGTAGTTATATGAAACATATTATGTAAAATTATTTTGTGTTATATATCTAAAAAATATTAGGGGGATTTGGTCATAACCCCCTCACTATCTAATTTCTCTTTCAAAAGGACAAGAATTATATAAATACTTTCAGAACTTCCTGATATTTTAAAACTTGTTTCTTTTACTATATTACTCTCATATCTATCAGCTCTCCTATTAAGACATTTTTACTATGTATTTCAGAGTAAAATTTTACTCTGTATGAAAGTAAAATTTTACTCTGAATGAGAGTAAAATTTTACACTCTGAAACTAAAAGTAAAATTTTACTCTGTATAAAAGTAAAATTTTACTCTGAAAAATAAGTAAACTGTAAGACTCTGAAGCTAAAAGTAAAATTTTATTCTACATCATTCTCTCTACATTTTCACTATGTATTTCAGAGTAAAATTTTACATTCTGAAACTAAAAGTAAAATTTTACTCTATATAAAAGTAAAATTTTACTCTGGTTCTGTCAAATGAAAAAAACAGAGCAATGGAACCAGAGTAAAATTTTACTCTGGTTCTATCAAATGAAATTTGATGTTTACTCTGAAAAATTGATGGAACTTTGAGCTATGAGCTTTGAATCAGGCCTATAATCCTTGAATCAATCGATGCTTACTTTGAAAAACATTGAATCATGCCTATAATCCTTGAATCAGGCCTATAATCTGAAAATTTTAGAGAAATATCAATTTTTCATACCCCGGTTCTTCAGATTTTACAGATTTTTTAGATTTTTAAAAACTTGAGCTTCAAAATTTATATATTTCGAATTCAAATTTCAAAAACCCAACACACCATATATAGATATATATATATATATATATATATATATCGAATTCAAATATCAAAACACATATATTCGAATTCAATCTCAAAAACAACAAACACACACCACACACACACACACACATATATATAGACATATATATTATATATATAATAATATATTCTATATATATATATATATCTATATATCTCGGAGATTAGAGATCGGAATCGTTTATGGTGCACAGATTTGAGTTGAAACCCTATATCGAAAGAGGGAATAGAAGCTTGCGGAGGCTCTGGAGGATGATGAAGTCATGGAGAGGTAACGGTCGAGGACGGAGTCGATGGAGGGGTTGCTGAAGGCGAAGGTGTTGCCGGCGTTGGAGAAGGTGATGACGGCGGCTTCGGTGCCGCACAAGTTGCAGAGCTCGCCGGTCTTCTTGAATAGGCCATGTGTGGAAAGGAAGAGAGTGGGTATAATAGTCATATAAAATATTTAAATAATAAATTTGTCCTTTATGTAAGACTTTATAATTATAAAGGGGTTTAGAAAGTATAATTTTTTTTTTAGTCCTTTTAACAATGAAAGGAAGGTAAAGGGGGTTTATAGCCAAATTTTTCAAAATATTATACAAATTAGTATTATATATTGTGCAAATATATGATAATTAGTTAGAATATTCTTCAATTCGTCAATCCGCCAAAACTCCTAAACCGTAATTTGTCAATCCTTTAATCCGTTAACTCACCATTCAATTTAAGAGTGGTTTAAAGATGATCTAAATAAATGTACTTTTTGACTTTTTATGAAATATGAGTTAGGAATCGGTTGAATTTGAAGTGATAGGATAGAGAGGTGATGTGACTTAAATAATATGATATAACTTAAATAGGATAATAACTTTTTAATTTTTTAACTTTTTAATTTTTTTTAAATTATAATAAATAAGACCTTATAAATTTACTGTCAAATCGTTCAAACAATATCATATACAACTCTAAGGCCCACGTTAAAAAAAGACATTGATGGCAGCAAGCCGACAACTTACGGTTAAAAGAAATAAAAAAATAAAAAAATAAAAGAAAGTAAAAAAATTGCATGATTGACAAAATGATTTTGTGTAGTGGAGAACTCCCGTGTAAACTTTTGAATCATAATTTATTGAGCCTCCTAGCAAATACAGCAATCCTATATCACTCTACAATTTTTATTTTAAATTTTATTTAAAAATATTGTTAAATGACTCAGATTCATAATGTCATCAAATATTCATTATATCTCAATTACGAAAAGTATTATGGTACACATCCTCAATTACGTGTGTGTAGTGTATACCAATTATGTTATTTGTGAATTTAAGAGCGGGTTTGACATTTTTTAAAAAAGTAAAAAAGTTAAAAAATTATTAAAAAAAATAAAAAGTTGTCATAATTCATAAAAAAAATATATAAAAAAATTAATTTTATACAAAAAAAAGTACAACTCACTTCTCACGTGAGTTGTAGAAGTGAGTTGTACTTTAGCTGATTTTGGTTAGACAAATGAAACAGGTGAGTGCACAAACAAGACAGTATTATTCGGCTTGTGGGGGTCTATCACGGATCTCGTTTTGATAATCTGAACCGTCAATATGTAGAACTCGTCGAGTACTATAAGTTTGTTAAAAATCACGTTGATCGGATATCAATAGCTATCTGATCGGATTAATTTTTTGTCAACCGTTAACTATAACACCATTCATTTTTATACAAAACTGATTTGATCATGTAGTTAACGATATCCGATCAACGTGATTTTTAACAAACTTATAGTACTCGACGAGTTCTACATATTGACGGTTCAGATTATCAAAACGAGATCTGTGATAGACCCCCACAAGTCGAACAATACTGTCTTGTTTGTGCACTCACCTGTTTCATTTGTCTAACCAAAATCAGCTAAAGTACAACTCACTTCTACAACTCACGTGAGAAGTGAGTTGTACTTTTTTTTGTATAAAATTAATTTTTTTATATATTTTTTTTATGAATTATGACAACTTTTTATTTTTTTTAATAATTTTTTAACTTTTTTACTTTTTTAAAAAATGTCAAACCCGCTCTTAAATTCACAAATAACATAATTGGTATACACTACACACACGTAATTGAGGATGTGTACCATAATACTTTTCGTAATTGAGATATAATGAATATTTGATGACATTATGAATCTGAGTCATTTAACAATATTTTTAAATAAAATTTAAAATAAAAATTGTAGAGTGATATAGGATTGCTGTATTTGCTAGGAGGCTCAATAAATTATGATTCAAAAGTTTACACGGGAGTTCTCCACTACACAAAATCATTTTGTCAATCATGCAATTTTTTTACTTTCTTTTATTTTTTTATTTTTTTATTTCTTTTAACCGTAAGTTGTCGGCTTGCTGCCATCAATGTCTTTTTTTAACGTGGGCCTTAGAGTTGTATATGATATTGTTTGAACGATTTGAGAGTAAATTTATAAGGTCTTATTTATTATAATTTAAAAGAAGTTAATCAATCCTTTAATCCATTAACTCACCATTCAATTTAAGAGTGGTTTAAAAATGATATAAATAAATGTACTTTTTGACTTTTTATAAAATATGAGTTGGGTATCAGTTGAGTTTGAAATGATGAGTTAGAGAGGTGATGTGACTTAAATAAAATAATATAACTTAAATAGAATAATGACTTTTTAATTTTTTAACTTCTTTTAAATTATAATAAATAAGACCTTATAAATTTACTCTCAAATCGTT